ATTTGAGAGAAAGATCATGAAGGAAGAGTAGACATCCACCATATTTTGATTTTTATCATAACAATTTCCAAATTATTCCGGACCAAGAATATCAGGCACTAGATGGGAGAGTTGTAGCCGCCTTCGTTTTCTTCTGGATGCATGACGTTTCTCTTTATTTTGCACCTTAAGGCTTAAGTTTGAGATAACTTTGATTAAGTCGGTTTAAACAAAGAAACTCAATTTAATGCTGAATTATTAGACAACAAATCACACGAGCAGCACACTTTCCTAAAAGGTGACAAAGAAATTCCAAAGAATGACTTGGAGGCTACTCTAAAGTCGCATTTTTCTAATGCCAAAAGTCGACTAATGCCCAAATGTCATCTCTCCATTTCTTGCCTTAAACCGCCTTTACAAGTAATTTTCCTTTTTTCATACTTTACCAGGAGGAAATAAGGCAGTAACTTACACGTAGGAACTTTCTTTATTTTCCCCAAGAAAAATTATCAACACAACTACTAAACCCTCTCACTTCAATAAAATCTTACACTGTAAGTGCATATTTCAATCTCATTTCCATTTCAAACCCTATATTTCTTCCCTAATCGCGAGAGCTCTTTGCTCTCCGATCAATCATACTGTAATGCACTGATTGATTTCTCTGTGATAATAATCAGAGTGATGGCTGAGATCGCCAAGCTCGTTGATGTTTTCTCATCTGGCGATGATCTCTCTCAAAGACTTCGCGCTGATTCATCACTCAATCTAGGGTTCCGGAAACTCTGTTCAATTCTCCGGCAAGCCGTAGAACCCGTCGCTGGCGATGGCAACAAGCTAGGGCTTCAATTCTGGGATCAGTCGCAGATTCAAGCAGTCACTTCCCTCGCACTTACACTCGTCAACTCCACTCGATCTTTATCAGGTACTCTTAGCACTATAATTTATGTATTCATGGATATACTTGCGAGAAATTTTATGCGTGTGACTTAAATTTAATATTATTACAGTTGAGCGAGTTGAACCTGTAATTGTGGCGGCTATTCAGCTTTCTGTAGAGTTTGCGTTATGCTATCTGGAAAAATGGATTTGCAACAGTGATGATTCAATGCTTCAGGTATTGGATTTACTGTAGTGGAATCTGTTCTTTAAGTTTGTTAGGCTGTTGTTTATGCACCATATTTTGTGCTATATTTAATGTTCGCGTTCTCTCTATATTTAGAGCTATATCCTGCAGCTACTGGAAATAGCACTAGTTGATGAAACGGATAAAGAGCTTGATCTGTTGCAGCCATGTTCGTCTAATGCTAGCATGGATATGTTGCCAATAGCTGTAATTGAAGATAACTGTAGTAAATGGCAGGACGGTACGAGATGCATGCTTCAAGGTATTCTTGGATCCATTTAAAGCCGCCTTGTATGTTGAATCACATGGTCTATAATGTGTGTTTTTACCTCTCTTTTTTCTGTTTGCTTCTGCAGGGGGGAGATGTTCAAAGGAAGAGAAAGCAGCTGATACTCTTCTAATGACGTTAGCTTCTGAATGGATGCACCCTGACAATGTGAATACAACCACTCTTAGGCAGTCTGTTCCTTATGATTGTAATAAATTGATCAATGTGTCACAGCATTGGGCAGTTGTACATTTGGAGTGTGTTCATCGTCTTGTTACTATTTGCAAGGACCTTTTAAGACTTCCCGCTCCATCTGATGAGAAATCTGCCATTCCTAATTTGAGGAAGAGATTTTCATTTTGTGTGAAAGTATTCAAGTTACTGGGTAGTCTTACTAAAAATAGCTCATACACTCACTTTGATGCCAAGTTATTCCGGTCTGTTGCTTCATTCACTGAGGTATTGCCCACCCTGTTCAAGCTGCCGTTTGATTTCGTAAGTGGATATCCTGCAGTTGAGAGTGGCTTAGATAGTCAAGTAATGCTGTTGCTGGAAGAGTTTATTCAAATTGTACAGACAATTTTCTGCAACACCAACGTATTTCAAAACATCCAAGCATGCATTGCAGCTTTAATATTGGATCATTTGGATCCTGACGTGTGGAAGTATAGCAGTGCTGTTAACCCAAGGCCTCCTTTGGCCTACTGCCCCCGTGTGGTTGTTTATGTTCTCAAGCTAATATTAGACGTCAGGAATAGAACATATCAGCTATTCGAGTACAAGGGCCTCGATGTTGAAGGTGTGAGTACCAGCCAACTCTTGGAGCCTCCTTTATGTCAGGTTCACTCAGCTAAGGTCAACCTGCTGAAGAAGTACTCAGTGGAGGAACTTTTGAGAATAATATTCTCACCATCAGTCCAATGGGTGGATAATGTGATGCAACTGCTCTTGTTCCTTCACTCTGAGGGTGTCAAATTGAAGCCTAAATTGGAGAGGTCATGTTCCAGTGTCACCAAAACATCCGTTACTTCTGAGTCTGAAAACACAGCTTGCCATGAAGATGAAGCCCTCTTTGGGGACCTTTTCTCTGAGGGCGGTCGCTCAGCAGGATCTGTGGATGGGTATGATCAACCTGCTGTTGCACATAGTTCAAATACAAGCAGCACGCCCATTCAGGCTGCTACCGAATTGCTCAGCTTTTTGAATGATTGCATTTTATCACCTGAATGGTGTGGTCCTGTATATGAAGATGGGTGCAGAAAATTCACAAGCTACCACATTGATATTTTGCTTTCTGTACTTAGCTCCGAAGGATGTGATGCTGAAGCAACAGGTCATGATGCTGGGATAGCTCTAAATGAACAAATGAAACTTGGTTATCGGCATCTCAGTGAAATTTGCCTTGATCTGTTCCATAACCTCCTATCACGTCATGCCTTGTCTGATCGAGTTGAAGAAACACTTGTCGAGAAAATCCTTGTTATTGAAAATGGTGCTTTTCTTTACAATGATCTAACTCTTGGTTTACTGGCGCATGCTGTTGTCTGTCTGGTAGATTCTGCTGGCAGCAGCTTGAGGACCAAAATGTACAATATATTTGCTGATTTTGTCTGTGAAAAGGCAAAGACTATATGTTCAAAGTGTCCTAACTTGGACGAGCTTCTGGGGATCCTTCCATCTTTGTTTCATGTTGAGATACTGCTAATGGCTTTTCACCTGTCTTCAGAAGATGAAAAGGCTGTTCAGGCTAATGTGGTATTCTCTGCTCTTAAAGCCGTTGCTGTCCCATCTGCTGGTTTTGATAGTACGCAATTGTCATGTTGGGCTCTATTAGTTTCACGTTTGATAGTAATGCTTCGTCACATGCTATTTTATCCTCTTGTTTGTCCATCATCCCTGCTTTTGGAGTTCAGGACCAAGCTGAGGGAAGCCTCCTCCTCAAGATTGAGGCCTCGTGTCAGTGGCAGTCGTGCCTCATCTTGGGTCTCAATTTTGTTTGAAGGTGTGATGGGTGGCTTCATTAAAGAAACACCTACCTGCAATGCCTTGCTAAGTCATCTGATTGATATCACACCTCTTCCTCCATCTGCATGTAGAGATGATCCAACAATAGAATGCCTAGGCTTGTCCTGGAATGACATATGTGCCTCTTTTTCCAGGATTCTGAGGTTTTGGGAAGGTAAAAAACCTGAAAAAGTGGAGGACCTGATACTTGAAAGATACATTTTTGTGCTTTGTTGGGATCTACCAGTCGTGAAATCCACCTCAGAACATCTGCATCGTTGGCTAACTAGTGCTGAAGTTCCTGAACTCTCAAATGCTGAGCATTTTGTTTACTTTAGCCAATTATTTTCGGGTGATATGGGGAAAATTAACTACAGTCATCTTTCTGTTATGTTGATGGATTTGATTCATCGGTTGCATGATTTACACGTATCAGAGGATGTGGGAGAATTCGGATGGGATTTTCTAAGGGCTGGATCTTGGTTATCTCTGTCACTTTCATTGGTTACTGCTGGTACTGCTGGACACTGCATGGATAAGGCACTAGCTTCTGCTGTTCCTATGTTACCAGAGCAGACATCAAGAGATGGCAAATTTTATGCATTCACTGAAGGTGTTATTTCTACTTTAGTTGGTACTAATCAAGTTGAGCGGTTGATTAGAGTATTGTCATCTTTGTTGAAGAGATACCTACAAGTTTATCAGAAAGCTTTAATTATGACGATCGACGGTGATCAGTTTTCGCCCAACCGACTTTCACCTACAATGTCATTTGTGCATGCTGGTTTTGACAAATGCAAGCAGGATGAACTCCTTGAGAAGATGGGTTCTGATCCATGCCAGTATAAGCCTCTCTATGGAACTTTGTCAAGGCTGGATACTGCTCTTGACAAGTTATCTTTAGGAAGTCATTCTAAAATCTTATGGGAATCTTTGCTGCATGGCTTCCCCTGTCTTCTTCAACCTCCAAGTGGAACTCTGCTTTCGTCTATCCTTAATGTTGCAGGAGTAGTAAATTGTATAGATGGGCTAATGAAGGTCATTGATGCTGGAGGAGTTCTTTACTTGGAGACACAGGCCATCTCTCAGATTCTTGAATTGGTCTGTAGGATCAAGTGTGACAGTATATTTGAAGACCTTCATGGAAAATGTAATGCTATTTACCAACGGTTGACCGAAGGCTCTGGAGGAGTTGACTACAGTAGCTTATTCGTATTAAAGCACATGGAGGAGTTTTTAAGGTGTGTCAATGAGAGAGATGGTGGAGATACTAGTGGCATTTATGAAGCTCTGATTGTCAAGGTAATTGATATTGTTGATAGCTTAAAAAGAGAGCCTTCTGGTACTGGGGTTTTGAAATACTTTCTCTCTCTTGAGGACGGCTCCAAACAGATAAAGGATCTTTATGGTTCACAACGCGGTGATTTGTTGGTTCTTGTTGATGCTTTAGACGGATGCAACTCTGAGCAGGTCTCTATAAGGGTTCTCAACTTTTTTGTTGATCTTTTATCTGGAGATATGTATGCTCATGTCAAAGAGAAGTTGCAGAAGAAGTTCCTTCACATGGACATGGTCTACCTGTCAAAGTGGCTTGAAACCAGGCTTTTAGGATCTGTGACTGAAGAATCTAGTGGAGTTGCATGTGCAACAGGAGCTTCAGTTTCTCTAAGAGAATCAACTATGAATTTTATCACATGCCTGTTGTCTCCGTCCTCTGGAATCCTTTCACAGGAACTACATAAGCATTTGGTGAAATCTATGCTGATTTCACTTGATAAGGCTTTTCTGCTATTTGAGTTCACTGTTGCCAAATGTTATTTCAATTTTCTTGTTCAGCTTTCTGGAGGTGAAAATTTAATCAAGCAACTTATGCGGCAGACGATGTTGCTGACTGAGAAGCTGGCTGATGATGAGAATCTACTTCAAGGGCTGAAGTATCTCTTTGGTTTCTTTGCAAGTGTCTTGAGTGATTGCTGCTCTGCCAAAAGTGCCACTGAACGATCTTTAGTAAAGTCTATCCCTAGCAGTAGTTCAGCGGTGGGGTCTGCACCTACTAGATCTATATGTTCCAGGAAGAATGCTGATGCTGTGGTCCTTTCTTCCAGTCAAGGTGTGTCCGCAATTGAGTGTGATGCAACTTCTGTTGATGAAGACGAGGATGATGGAACATCTGATGGCGAGAACGGTAGCCTGGACAAGGATGAAGAGGAAGATAATAACAGTGAAAGGGCCCTCGCCTCTAAAGTTTGTACATTTACATCTAGTGGTAGCAATTTTATGGAGCAACACTGGTACTTCTGCTATACATGTGATCTGACCGTGTCCAAAGGCTGTTGCTCTGTTTGTGCAAAAGTTTGTCACAGAGGTCATCGTGTGGTTTATTCTAGGTCCAGTCGCTTCTTCTGTGACTGTGGTGCAGGAGGTGTTCGTGGTAGCAATTGTCAATGTCTGAAACCTCGAAAATTTGCTGGAAGCAACAACGCAGCCAGTCGTGGTGCTAGTAACTTCCAGTCTTTTCTGCCTTTCACGGAAAATGGAGATCAACTTCCTGACAGTGATTCAGATATTGATGAGGATGTTTTGGTGGAAGCAGACAACTCTATCAAGATGTCTATTCCAAAGGACCTTCAAGATGGGATGCCGATCTTATTAGACGAACTTGATCTTGAAAGTTGTGTTGTGAGACTTTGCTCTTCACTGTTGCCTTCTATTACAAGCCGGAGAGATTCTAGCCTTTCGAGAGAGAGGAAAATTTTCCTGGGTAATGAGAAAGTACTTTGTAACAGTGTTGATCTTTTGCAATTGAAGAAAGCATATAAAAGTGGATCGTTAGATTTGAAGATAAAGGCTGATTATTCAAATGCCAAAGAACTTAAATCCCACTTGGCTAGTGGTTCTCTTGTTAAATCTTTGCTCAGTGTTAGCACACGAGGTCGGCTTGCTGTTGGAGAGGGTGACAAGGTAGCCATATTTGATGTTGGACAGCTTATTGGACAAGCTACTGTTGCTCCTGTGACTGCAGACAAGACCAATGTGAAGCCTCTTTCTAAGAATGTTGTCCGTTTTGAAATTGTAAATCTCATTTTCAATCCACTTGTGGAAAATTACCTTGCGGTCGCTGGCTATGAAGATTGCCAGGTTCTCACAGTAAATCATCGAGGTGAGGTGAGCGATCGTTTAGCCATTGAACTCGCTCTACAAGGTGCTTATATCAAACATGTAGACTGGGTCCCTGGATCTCAAGTTCAGCTAATGGTGGTCACCAACAAATTTGTTAAAATATATGATTTATCCCTTGACAACATTAGTCCTGTGCACTATTTCACTTTGCCTGATGGCATGATTATGGATGCTGCACTCATTGTGGCTTCACAGGGTAGGATGTTTCTGATTGTCCTTTCAGAACATGGTAGCTTGTACAGGTTGGAGTTGTCAACAAAAGGGAATGTTGGGGCCAAGCCATTGAAGGAAATCATGCAAATCGAGGGTAAAGAGAGACACGCGAAAGGTTCCTCCTTATATTTTTCATCAATGCATCGTTTACTCTTTCTGTCCTTACAAGATGGGACCACCTTGGTTGGCCGAGTAAATCCAGATGCAACTTCTCTAACTGAGGTCTCTGCCATATTGGAGAATGAAACAGACAGTAAACATCGGCCAGCAGGATTGCACCGGTGGAGAGATTTATTTGGTGGCAGTGCTTTGTTTGTTTCCTTCTCAAGTTTGAATTCAAATGCCGCATGTGCTGTCTCGTTTGGTGAACATCAAGTACTCGTACAGAACTTGCGACATTCAGTGGGTTCAGCTTCTCCTGTTGTAGGGGTTGCCACTTATAAGCCTTTGTCAAAAGACAAAATCCACTGTCTTGTTTTACATGAAGATGGAAGCCTTCAGATATACTCACATGTTCCTGCTGGTGTAGACTCTGGTGTCAGTGCCATCAGTGATAAGGTTAAAAAGCTTGGCCCTGGGATACTCAATAACAAGGCTTATGGAGGTACAAAACCAGAATTTCCACTTGATTTTTTTGAGAAAACTGTGTGTATAACGCAAGATGTGAAGCTGAGCAGTGATGCTATAAGGAATGGTGACTCTGAGTTAGCTAAACAAACCCTGGCTTCTGAAGATGGATTTTTAGAGAGTCCTAACCCCGGAGGATTCAAGGTATTACTTTCTTGTTGTTTCTGTTATATTTGTCTCCTAATTCATTAAATTTTCCTCTCTCTGGACATGACTGTTTGAGATTCATTCTTTAAGTGGAAAATCTTTCACATATGAAAATGTCAAAGCCGGAGTTAAGTGATTTTGCCTGTCCCAACTTTTGTGTTTGGTGGTCTGACTACACAAACCAGGAGGGAAGAGATGAGAGCATGATTATATGAGGTTGTTATCCCTGCTTTTGCCTGTTGAATTCTAAGTGACTTGAAGTGCTAGTGTTTTGATAAAATTTTAGCTAAGGTTATTTGCTGGAAAGAGAGTGCCAGGTGAAGGGTGGACGAGACCAAGAAGTAAGGCTTACATGCATTTATATGGATCCACTTTAAGATTAAACGAATCCATTGAGTTGAATATGATTGTTTGTGTGATTGCATTTACTGTTTTCTTTGGGATAAGGTAAAATAATTTCATTAATATGAAAAGCTTTCTGTACAAAAAAGTATACCAAGTAGAGAGCCTACACATAAAATGGATCTTTATGAGTGCAACCTATCTTCTGTACAGACTGGAACCACTCATGGGTGCACCTAAAGGAAACAAGAAGCAAGAGGTTATTCCTTGTATCTACAAAGCCATTCTGCACACCGTCAAAGGCTCTTCTTTCCTCTTTCCATGTAACCCACATAAGAGCTAGTCAGGCAACATCCCATACTTCGCGTCTTCTCGTCTTTCTTCCGTAGGCCCAACGGTGTAGCATCACCATTATCCACTGTACGCTAAACCAGTTCAGCACTAATCATAACCATATTGCCATTTTCTATACCAGGGATAGCAATGAAACCAATTATTACAAATGCTTAGTGTAGCCTTTTTCTAGCTTCTAGGGTATGTTCCTTTGCACTCAAGTGATTGAACAAAGTTGATAATGTTCTGGTGTAAAAGATGCACGTATAACTTACCCTTCTCCATGCTTTTCATTTAACAGACGCTCTGTGCATCTTTGCAGTTCTGACATTGCAATTGCTTCAATTTCACTTTGTAATTGCTTCAGATCTGTTTGTCAAGAAGCATTGTGCAAACTCATATTTTTATCAACTAGGATAAAAAATGTAAGTAATAATTGATGGGAAGAGCTGAATAAACATATGAATATGTTAGCTGGTATTCTCAGAAGTGAGTTGAACTGGTGATGTTAGTGAACTTTGGTTTTAACTTTTAAGAACTTATTGTTCCCTTTTGGAGAATATGATAAACTTGGGGCTAAGTAGACTAGGATCATTCCAGGAATATGCATTCATCCTTTCCTTTTGGAGAATATGGTAAACTTGGGGCTAAGTAAACTAGGATCATTCCAGGAATATGAATTCATCAGTTTTAGCTCTTTTGGCAATGTGGATAACACAATTAGGAATCACTTTTCATCCATCTCTACCTTTTTTCATGAGGGGTTATTATCTTCAAGGAGAGAAATACTAACATTTTAATACAGTAGTATTCTTACTTGGATATTCCTGTGAGCTCTCTGGTTTTGGTTTTTACTTCCCCCAATGTTCCACTTTTTGTCGTCGTTGTCGTTTTTTTCTTTGAACTAGTATCTAGCACTTTACTTAGGAATCTGGATCATAGCTCTGTATATTTCAGCTTTATAATGTGTGCCATTTTTCCAGATAACTGTTTCCAATTCGAATCCCGACCTTGTCATGGTCGGTCTGCGATTGCATGTGGGTAACACATCTGCGAATCACATTCCTTCTGAGATCACTGTATTTCAGAGAGTGATAAAATTAGATGAGGGAATGCGTTCTTGGTATGATATTGCATTTACAGTCGCCGAATCACTTCTTGCTGATGAAGAATTTACAGTATCTGTTGGACCAACATTCAGTGGAGCTGCTTTACCCCGAATAGACTCCTTAGAAATTTATGGCCGAGCTAAGGATGAATTTGGTTGGAAAGAAAAGATGGATGCTGTTCTGGACATGGAGGCACGTGTACTTGGTTGTAATTCGTGGCCTGCTGGATCTAGGAGGAAGTGCCGTGCAACACAGTCTGCACCACTGCAGGAGCTGGTTGTGGCTGCTGGATTGAAGCTCTTGTCAAGAATCTACTCTTTGTGCAAACCGAAAGGATGCTCAAAAGTTGAGGAAGCTAAGGTGGAGCTGAGCAAATTGAGGTGCAAGCCCTTGTTAGAAGTTATATTTGAAAGTGACAGAGAGCCTTTGTTGCAGGCAGCTGCCAATCGTGTCCTGCAAGCCGTCTTCCCAAAGAGGGAGATATATTACCAAGTAACTGCCCAGACTATATGTGTGAAATGAGTGAACTAATCTTGCTTTTTCTCTATTTATGCCAAATATNTCATTTGGAGAAGTTACAATCCTGGTACTTATGTTCTTTACCTTAATGCTGCGAAACTGGCACCAGCCAGGAACTGATGGTTCGGCAACTAAATCTGGTGGTGTGACTGAAGCGCATGACAAAGCTGCCTTGCATATCTCACCTTCCACTTGTGTTGCTGCTTCACCTACCTTAGATGGTCAAGAGAAAATTGACTTTATCTCCCATTTACTTCGTGCTTGTAGCTATCTTAGGCAGCAAGCATTTGTCAATTATCTGATGAACATTCTACAGGAGCTAACTCAAGTTTTTAAATCTCCACCTATTAGCACAGATGCATCTTCTGGGTTGAACACCGCTTCTGGTTGTGGTGCTTTGTTGACAATCCGTAGGGAAGTGCCTGCGGGTAACTTCTCTCCATTCTTTTCAGACTCGTATGCAAAATCACACCGTGCGGACATATTTGTGGACTACCATAGGCTGTTGTTGGAGAACACTTTCCGTCTGCTCTACAGCTTGATCCGACCAGAAAAGCACGACAAGGCTGGGGAGAAAGAGAAGATCCACAAGATGACTTCTGGTAAGGATTTGAAGCTAGATGGATATCAAGATGTCCTGTGCAGCTATATCAACAATCCTAACACCAGTTATGTTAGAAGGTACGCCAGGAGGCTTTTTCTGCATCTCTGTGGTAGTAAGACACACTACTACAGTGTTCGAGACTCTTGGCAGTTCTCAACTGAAGTTAAAAAGCTCTATAAGCACATAAATAAATCTGGTGGATTTCAAAGTTCTATCTCATATGAAAGAAGTGTGAAGATAGTAAGGTGCCTAACGACCATGGCTGAAGTGGCTGCAGCTCGTCCTCGAAATTGGCAAAAGTATTGTTTAAGGCATGGTGATCTTCTTCCTTTCCTTCTGAATGGAATATTTTATTTTGGGGAAGAGTGTGTTATTCAGGCATTGAAGCTTCTGAATCTGGCCTTCTATACTGGGAAAGATAGCACACACTCATCACAGAAAGCTGAGGTAGCGGAAGCTGGAACAACTGTGAGTAAGTTAGGGTCACAAGCTCCTGAATATAAAAAGAAGAAGAAGGGGGAAGACAGTGAATCTGGTGTTGAGAAAACTCAGTTGGATATGGAAGCAGTGGTTGATGTTTTCATTGGAAAAGGTGGTGATGTGTTGAAACAATTTATTGACTGCTTTTTATTGGAATGGAATTCAAGCTCTGTGCGCTCAGAATCCAAATCAGTTCTCCTCGGTGTCTGGCATCACGGGAACCCGGCATTCAGAGAAACATTGTTAACTGCACTTTTGGAGAAGGTAAAATCTTTACCAATGTATGGGCAGAACATCATTGAATATACAGAACTTGTTACATTCTTGCTAGGGAAGGTCCCTGATCATGGTGCGAAGCTACAGAGTGCTGAAGTTGTTGACAAATGCTTGACTGCCGATGTGATTAATTGCATATTTGAGACACTTCATTCACAAAACGAGCTTTTGGCGAACCATCCAAATTCTCGAATATACAACACTTTGAGTGGATTGGTGGAATTTGACGGTTACTACCTTGAGAGTGAGCCTTGTGTAGCCTGCAGCTCCCCCGAGGTTCCGTATAGTAGGATGAAGCTTGAAAGTTTGAAGTCAGAAACGAAGTTTACTGACAACCGCATCATAGTGAAATGTACTGGTAGCTACACCATTCAGAGTGTGGCAATGAATGTTCATGATGCTCGTAAATCCAAGTCAGTGAAAGTTCTAAACCTTTATTACAATAACAGGCCTGTGGCTGACTTGTCAGAGTTGAAAAACAATTGGTCCCTTTGGAAGCGTGCAAAAAGCTGCCATCTTGCTTTTAATCAAACTGAGCTGAAAGTTGATTTTGCCATCCCAATTACAGCGTGTAATTTTATGATTGAATTGGATTCATTTTATGAAAATCTTCAAGCTTTGTCCCTCGAGCCGTTGCAGTGTCCCCGTTGCAGTCGGGCTGTGACTGATAAGCACGGTATTTGCAATAATTGTCATGAGAATGCTTATCAATGCAGACAGTGCAGGAACATCAACTATGAAAATCTTGATTCCTTCTTATGCAATGAGTGTGGGTACAGCAAATATGGTCGCTTTGAATTTAATTTTATGGCAAAGCCAAGTTTCACTTTTGATAGCATGGAAAATGAAGAAGACATGAAGAGGGGATTGACTGCAATAGAGGCAGAGTCGGAAAATGCTCATCGTAGATATCAGCAGCTTTTGGGATTCAAAAAACCTTTGCTGAAGATTGTGTCTAGTGTTGGTGAAAATGAGATGGATTCTCAGCAGAAGGATTCGGTTCAACAAATGATGGTCTCTTTGCCTGGACCTTCATGCAAGATAAACCGTAAAATTGCTCTTCTTGGTGTCCTTTATGGTGAGAAATGCAAAGCAGCATTTGATTCTGTCAGTAAGAGTGTTCAGACCCTCCAAGGTCTGAGGCGAGTTTTGATGAATTATTTGCATCAGAAACAATCAGATAATGTTGGTCCAGCCTCCAGATTTGTTGTTTCGAGGGTACCTAACAGTTGCTATGGTTGTGCTTCCACTTTTGTCACCCAATGCTTGGAGATATTACAGGTGCTATCAAAAAATCCAGCATCCAAGAAGCAACTTGTTGCTGCTGGTGTTCTGTCTGAGCTGTTCGAAAATAACATCCATCAGGGCCCCAAAACCGCTCGTGTCCAAGCTAGAGGAGCTCTTTGTGCCTTCTCTGAGGGTGACACTAATGCGGTAGCTGAGTTGAACAGTCTAATACAGAAGAAGGTAATGTATTGCCTTGAACATCACCGCTCCATGGACATCGCGTTGGCTACACGTGAAGAGTTGTCCCTGCTTTCTGATGTGTGTTCATTGTCGGATGAATTCTGGGAATCAAGATTAAGGGTTGTTTTCCAGTTGTTATTTGCATCTATCAAGGTGGGAGCTAAACATCCTGCAATATCTGAACATGTGATTCTTCCTTGCCTGAGGATCATATCTCAGGCTTGTACTCCTCCAAAGCCTGATGGTGTTGACAAAGAGCAAGGAGCAGGAAAATCTTCTCATGTCACGCAAGTGAAAGATGACAGTTCAAATGTTTCTGGGTCTAACAGCCTTGTTAGTGGAGGAAGTAAGTCAATGTCAGAGTCGTCAGAGAAAAGTTGGAATGGTTCTCAGAAGGCTCAAGATATACAACTGTTAAGCTATTCAGAGTGGGAAAAAGGAGCCTCCTATCTAGACTTTGTGAGGCGACAGTATAAGGTTTCTCAGGCTGGGAAAAGTGGTCAAAGATCCCGTCTTCAGAGGCAGGACTACCTGGCGCTGAAATATCTTCTCAAGTGGAAGCGACGTGTTTCAAAGACAGCTCGAAATGAGATATCATCATTTGAACTGGGCTCATGGGTTACAGAACTCATACTGAGTGCTTGTTCGCAGTCTATTAGGTCAGAGATGTGTATGTTGATTAGTTTACTCTGTGGCCAGAGTTCATCACGACAGTTTCGCTTGCTAAACTTGCTCATGTCTTTGTTATCGGCAACTCTTGCTGCTGGAGAAAATGCTGCTGAGTACTTTGAACTGCTGTTTAAAATGATAGACACAGAGGATGCTCGTCTTTTCTTGACGGTGCGTAGTTGCTTGACAACAATATGCAAGTTGATCACTCAGGAACTGGTTAATGTTGAAAAGTTGGAGAGGAGCCTGCATGTTGACATATCTCAGGGCTTTATTCTTCATAAACTTATCGAGCTCCTTGGCAAGTTTTTGGAGGTTCCAAGCATCAGATCCAGGCAAGTAGTCTTCACATCCTTAATATATTGAATTATTCACTGTTGACATATTTGCTGATCAATCTTTCTTGACTGTTCACTTGTAGATTCATGAGAGAGCATTTGCTTTCCGAGGTTCTTGAGGCTCTCATTGTGATTAGGGGGTTGGTTGTGCAGAAGACAAAACTAATAAATGACTGTAATAGACTTCTCAAAGATCTTCTTGATAGTCTTTTGCTAGAAAGTAATGAAAATAAACGTCAGTTCATCCAGGCATGCATCTCTGGTCTACAAATTCACCGAGATGAGAATAGAGGGCGAACTTCTTTGGTACGTAATGAATTTCTTAATTTTTCCCGAAAGAAAAAAGTTGCAATATTAGTAAAGTGTTCTGGTCTTTGAAGTGATTTCCAACTATTGCTTTTTTGTTTCTTCTTCGGTTTATTTTGGGCACACAATAGAAAAGTGAGTAGGAGATCTTATTTCCTCTTTTGCTGGAGAATCAGATTGTACATGCCAAGCTACTTAATTAAGGATGGTAATTTCAAGAGATTGTCCATGATCTCTTGAATTTCTTTCTTCTCAAGGTTCTGCATCAGATATTCCCAGCTCCAGATGAGAATCAGTTCACATCTTTTGTTAGTGTAAAGTACAATGCTGTAATATTTGCTCTTTAGTTGATATTGGGAAGGACCCATTTTATAAGGCAGAGCAGAGTCCTTACTTTTTCTTTTGCAGTATACTAACTGCCTGGGTTCCTATATATTTTGGTTATATAGGGAGTCATTTCGACGTCTTCCTCCACTATCTGTTTGGTGCATAGTATTTTAATCAGTGGATTTACACTGTTCTATTTTGTCTTTACAAGCAGTTCATCTTGGAGCAGCTCTGCAATCTGATTAGCCCCTCAAAACCAGAGCCTGTGTATCTTTTGATCTTGAACAAGGCTCATACACAGGAAGAATTTATCAGGGGATCGATGACAAAGAATCCATATTCAAGTGCTGAAATTGGTCCATTGATGCGTGATGTCAAAAATAAAATCTGCCAACAGCTTGATCTCTTAGGTCTTATTGAAGATGATTATGGCATGGAATTGCTAGTAGCTGGGAATATTATTTCTTTAGATTTGAGTATTGCTCAAGTCTTTGAGCAAGTGTGGAAGAAATCCAGTAGTCAGTCTGCAAGTGTAGTTGCCGCGGCAACTTCACTTTCTTCCAGTGCTGCTGTATCAGGCAGAGATTGTCCCCCAATGACAGTGACCTACCGACTACAGGTTCTCTTGTTCTTTTTGCTGCCATTTTATTGTAGAATGTACTTGATGAAACCTTAAAAGAAAAAATGGTTCTGCCCATGGCTTTCTGTTATGTTCTTTTTTCTTTTCTTTTTGTCCTTCAAAATTTTGATTTACGTCTATGCTTAATCGGCATTCTTATAGCTTCTTTGATACACTTAACAGTTCCCCTATCTTCTATTCAGGGATTAGATGGTGAAGCTACTGAGCCCATGATTAAAGAAATTGATGAGGATAGAGAGGAGACCCAAGATCCAGAGGTGGAGTTTGCCATAGCTGGTGCAGTGCGGGAATGTGGTGGACTGGAAATTCTTTTAGG